ACGATATTTAAATGTTGAACAATTATCCAATGTATTTCAATTGCCGAAGTAGTTTTCAATTTCAAATGTGATTTTAAAATTAGGTTATTTCCGCAAAATTGATTGACAAAATTAGGGCGAAAGACGATGACGTGGCAATCCGGGTTAACAGAACTCGGGGCGCTACATATACCAAACGTGCTCTAAGTCGTGCTAGACATTACATTTTAAGATAAACAAAAGAATAAGAAAACAATAAAATGAAGTTATTGTTTTAGAGGATATTGGTGTTGCTCTCTATAATGAGTGCTATTAATTATTGAAGATTTTGTTGGATGTCCAAATTATATTAAAAACTAATTAGACAAAAAATGATAATTTTACTATGGATATTTACTTTATTATTTTTCTAGACTTAACCGGACATGCTCTGAGACGTGCTGGACATTACATTTTAGGATAAACAAAAGAATAAGAGAAACAAGAAAATGAAAGTTATTGCTTTAAAGGATACGGGGTTGCTTTCTAATAATGAGTGCTATTAATTATTGGAGGTTGCTTTCTGATAACGAGTGAAATTAAGTATCAAAGATTTTATTGGATATGTCCAAATTATATTAAAAATTATTTAGACAAGAATTGATATATTTACTATTAAAATTTACGTTATTATTTTTCTAGATTTAGCCGGACATGCTCTAAGTCTGGACATTATGTTTTAAGATAAACAAAAGAGTAAGAAAAATAAGAAAATGAAAGTTATTGTTTTAAAGGATATGGAGGTCGCTTTCCAATAACAAGCGCTATTAATTCAATGATTTTGTTGGATATGTCCAAACTATATTAAATAATTATCTAGACAAAAATTGATAATTTTTGCTATTAAAATTTACTTTATCATTTTTCTAGACTTAATCGAACATGCTCTAAGTCTTTCTGACATTACGTTTTAGGATAAATAAAAGAATAAGAAAATGAAAGTTACTATTTTGAAGGATGTTTTGTTTATAGTATTAATATTTTTCAATAGTGTTTCTTAAAAGTTGTTTCGCTAAACTTTCCAATTAAAATTATTTGTTTTCTTTCAAGAATACCCTCATTGACTTCAAGTCTAAGAGGTAAAGTCCTAATTTTTAACCACTTTAATACTAGAAAGTTATCCGAGATCAAAATCAATTGTAATGTTGTACTACTTTCTTCTGAACTCTAAAGTATGGTCTTTACAAGCTCACACCCTATATTGAATTTCTTGATTAAAGTCAATTATTAAAGTTGAAATCATATATGTACGGGTGTTGTGGTTCAGCTGGTCCATTGTCGGGTTTGGCTTGATCCACCATACAAACTGACTCACGCTTGCACCTTGGTGGAGCAAACCCACAATAGGGATGTGAAGTCTCGGGTTACCCCACTATCAAGCTCGACTCGGACCACCATACGACCTGACTCGTGCTTGCTTTCGGGAGAGACGAACCCAAGTCAACTAGTAAAAAAAAAAAAAAGACAATTCATCTCCCCCTCCTAGCTTGCCCAATCATCATCATGTCTTGCAGCCTTGTAGTTGCAAAAATAAGCCTATAGCTGAGCTAGGCGATCCTTTGGGACATTTGCATGGAAAAATTTCAGATCGCCTCGGCCCACCTCCCACCCCTACATAGAACCCATGAACAATAAATTAATCAATGTTGACCCATTACAAGTGTGTGACCAAAAATATTGATCCTTCCATTTGGGAGATTAGACCGTAACTGTTCGGTAATTGAGTTTCATTTCAAAATGTTAACTTATTATAAAAAAAAAAAAAAATTCAATTTATTATAATTATATTATCTCTCCATAACAAGTCAATGTTAGATTTTGTCTGCAGGTTCCTAGAAATTACCAAGACCCCATCAAATGGAGCGCCAATATATCTCAGCCCTTTAAGTGATAATCCACATGTCACTCTTCCCTAAAACAGGAAGGATTACGAGCTCCAATAAGGGATAATTCTTTCAACTAGGGGTTGGCTAAAACTTGAAAAATCGATCAAATCAAATTGAGTCAGGTCGGCTTGAACCAAAAAATCGGTTTGGTTCGATTAATTTTAACCATTAAAAAATCGGGAGAGGTTGGTGTCAGTTTATATATAAATATATTTTTTTTTTCTTTTTTCATTTCGAAATTCATATTGTTTAACTTAAAAAATAAATTAACTAAAACATAAATATAATTCTTTATCAAATAATTTGTTTCCCGTTTACGCTTTTTCTATCAAAATTTCAAATTCCAAAAGAAAAACAATGAGAAGAATTGTTTATTGTAAACTCCAAATTTAGATTGTAGCCTTACTTGTCATTTTGATGTGATTATTTATTGGTAATTATCATATTTATATGATGATTTTGGTAAAATCGACCTTTATCATTTACATTATATATATATATACAGAAATGA